CACTGGTTGGGGATAAGGCAGGGGAGGAGAGCTGAGGAGGGTTGGAGAGCTGTGGGGGGCTGCGAAGGGTTGGGTTGTGGGGGAGGAACTGCTTTGGAAGTTTGGGGTGCTGAGGAGGGTTGGGTTGGAGATAGGTGAAGATTGACTCTGCCTAGGTTGTGCTGAAGATGGTTGGGAGGGGGTGGGGCTTGTGGACTGCCCAGGGATAGCTGGAAGCTGATGAAGCTGGGGGAAGTTGTGGATTCCTCGTGGAGAGTTTAAGCGAAGGGTTGGGTTGTGGGGGAGGAACTGCTTTGGAAGTTTGGGGTGCTGAGGAGGGTTGGGTTGGAGATAGGTGAAGATTGACTCTGCCTAGGTTGTGCTGAAGATGGTTGGGAGGGGGTGGGGCTTGTGGACTGCCCAGGGATAGCTGGAAGCTGATGAAGCTGGGGGAAGTTGTGGATTCCTCGTGGAGAGTTTAAGTGAAAGTCCAGTATTTTTTTTCCCCCTAGTAATGTGTGTAGGGAGGAAGTGTCCCTGCTCTGCAGGATTTGTCAAGGCTTAACAATGATTCAGTGGCTGCAGAATAACTTAACAAACTTAGGTGTCTGAGCAGAAAGCAGAGGAGTTCAGGGACAAATAAGAAAGATGACAGACACTTCAGTATGAGGAAAATGGAAAGAGTTGGGACTGTTTTGTTTAGGGAAAAGACTTAAGATGGGACAGGAGGTGAGTAAAGTATGATCAGTTGTACCTGTTGATGCTGTAAGGCAATGGGATGTTTAGTGAAATTGCAGATCAGCTCACTTAACTCTGATAAAAGGTATTGTGTTACATGTACATAGCTGTGAAACTCCTTTCCTTATTGTTGAAGCTTAAGGTTGAACAACTTTTTAAAAAGATGAGAAAATAAGTTGTAGTATTATGGTCTACAATGTAAACAGGGCTTTATAAACTAAGGGTGTTAAATATCGACTAATTGACTAAATGCGTAGTCAATGCGTTTTGCATGACTATTCGATTAGTTGATAGGGCACCTCCGCCTTTGAAGGCAAAAGTGCCACAGAGCCCGGGGTTAGCTGGGGACTCCCCCGCTGACCCTGGGCTCCATGCAGTGCTGCTGCTTTGAAACTCCTCAAGGAACCTGACGTCAGGCTGCACATGGTGTTTCAACGTGTCAGCGCCGCATGGAACCCTGGAGTCCCCCAGCTGATCCTGCCACATGTGATGCTGCCACTTTGAAACGCCATGTGTAGCCTGGGAATACCTAGTTGGGACCCCAGGCTTCAGGCAGAGCTGCTGTTTTCAAGTACCCCCTCCTCTTCCTGAGAGAGGCAGCAAGGGGGAGGGCGAAGTGACTAGTCGACTATCATGTCCTTCACATCCGTATTATAAACTCTCATGCACAAAGCATGGCATACATTAGCCACTGAATGGGACATTTGTGGGCCCATGGTTCTTCCTTAATTGTCCGCTACAGCAGTGGTTTTCATTGTGGTGTTTTCATGGACTATGTTTAAGGTGATGGTCTTCACATTTTTCAAGTTTGTGCACCACACCTGTTACCTCTTTCTGCAATCACTTGGCCTCCAGTCTGGAAGCAGGACTGTGGGTCACATGTGGTAGAGATATGGACAGGGGTAAGAGTGCCAAGACTGGGAGTGTGGCCACTGTCTGAGGGTTCCCCCCTTCAGTCACCTGTCCCCCCACCAAACATTTCTCCATGCCCCACAGTTTGGGGACCTCTAGTATAATAGGTCCGTAAAAGACTGAAAATGAACAGAATTTCATTATACTGTATATATGGACAATATATTTACAAAGTAGTCCATGCCTCCTTTGGAAAACCGGAGGGGGGGGGTGGAGTTTGAGAGCCACTTCACTATGGGATATCTTGTGACTTCATGCAATAAGGACCGCAGCATGATGCAGAGTATTGGATTAGATCAGTGATCACAATCGTAAAAGACTGAAAATGAACAGAATTTCATTATACTGTATATATGGACAATATATTTACAAAGTAGTCCATGCCTCCTTTGGAAAACCGGAGGGGGGGGGTGGAGTTTGAGAGCCACTTCACTATGGGATATCTTGTGACTTCATGCAATAAGGACCGCAGCATGATGCAGAGTATTGGATTAGATCAGTGATCACAAT